AATTGCGCTAATGAATATGCCTGTAAAATCTATCTATCTATCTATCATCTATCTATCTATATATATATATCTAGATATATATCTAGATATATATCTAGATATATATATGTTTTTGTATCCACACATCCATACACACAGAAATTTTTATATCTGTAGGATACATTTCTAGAACTGAAATTGCTGGATTAAAAGTATGTACATTTAAAAATTAGTTATTACCAAATCCTCTACGAAATAATACTTATTTACATTTTAGCCTCAACAGTGTATAGAAGTGCTTTATCTATATAGTTGAATCAGAACTTTTGATTTTGAAAATCTGAAAGATGAATATTTGGTCATACAGTTTTAATTTCTATTTTGCTATGAGTGGAACAGTTTTGTTTATGAAACTGTGTTTTTTTGTGTGAACTGGCTGTTCTTGTGCGTGCGTGTCCATCATAATTTATTGGAGGCGATCTTTCACTTTATGTGTTAAGTAAACAGCTCAGTCTGTGTTATGTCCCGTCAGTAATTTTTTCCTAGTTTATCTTTTGACTGTTTTTTGGTTTTGTTTTTGGTCATATTCAAATTTTTTATTTTTACGTCATCTTATTTTTCAATTATTTTATGGCTCTGGGCTTTCTAGCATTCTTAAAAGTTTATTTTTAAAATTTTGCTTTTGAAATTTTTTATTGTTTTTTTAATGTTTAAAATTTTTATTCATATGAATTGATTTTTGTAGAAGGAATGAGGTGGTGATTGAGCTTTGTTTTTCCCAACTGTAACCCAGTTACAGTACCATTTACTGAGTTAGTTTTCTGTTGCCCACAAATACTTAATATCACCACTGTTATCACTTAACAAATTATGTATTTGGGTGTATTCTTTAGATTCTGTTCTGGTTCATTGATCTATTAGTCTACTCTTTATGTTAGCTAGTACAATATACTTTTAATTACCCCAGCTTTATATTTTGCTGTCTTGAAAAGCTAGTATTCTCTTATTACTCTCCTTTTCAGAACATTTCTGGCTTTTATAAACATTGCTGTCGTTTGCAGATCATTTACTGTATTTTCTATTTATTAAACACTCAAATTAGTGTTATGCAGGAAATACTTTAAAAATACATTTTTATAAGTTATCTTTTTAACTTTTATATTTGCCTTCTGATCATTTTTCTTCAAAGGACCTAACCATATGCCTATGCAAGGACCTGGACCCACTCAACTCAATATGACGAACAGTTCCATGAACATGACTTCGAGTAGCCATGGGTCCATGGGCGGTTACAACCATTCCGTGCCATCCTCACAGAGCTTGCCGGTGCAGAACCAGATGACAATGAGTCAGGGGCAGCCAATGGGAAACTATGGCCCCAGGCCAAACATGAATATGCAGCCGAACCAAGGTAAGAGTGCTCTGTGTTCCTGACTGGAGTCCTGTGTTAGCCTTTGAAAGTGAAGGGCTTCTATTAGGTTGTTAGCTCATTCATAAACGTTTGAGTTGAGGGACAGTTATGTTCGTATAAAGAGATCATTGAGTTTGAAGGTAGTTTAAATCCTTTTATTTACTTTTAGGAATTAATTCACTCATTTTAACTTTTAAACTTTTTAATTTTTATCTTTTGTATAATTTATTTTGAATTCAGTATTTCTGAATTGTTTGTTCAAGCTAATCAATGAATTATCAGTTTGTGTAGAGCTAGAAAATTGAGAAAAATATCTTTTTAAGTATAGCCTCTTAAAAATCTGCTGTAAGGTTTTACTTACAGAGCATATTATTAATTTAAGTGACTTTCTCTTGAATAGCACAAGTGCTTTTTGATGCCGTATTTCAGCACTAAAAGGTAACTCTAAGATGATTATCTACTACAGTCTGTAGAGATGCTGCTGTACTCTTAGAGTGGTGTGAATCCATTACAGTTTATTATCAGTCTCAGGGAGTGAAATTGTTACTATGCTTCTGTTTTAAGTATCCTGTGAATAATAACCAAAAACCAGTAAGTGGTGCTCTGTTCTTCTAATTGCCTGTTAAAACATTTGGCTTATTGCCAGCTTAATGCTTTTTCACTTTCAAAATGTGGTGAAGTTAAGAATATGAGAATATGAGATAGAATTAAGTATATCTGTAATAAAACTTTCTAGATTTTGATTATAAAACAGCTCACTAAAATGTACTCAGATAAAGGAAGTTAATGTTCTGCTAAAAATTATGATGAGATATTACATTGTAATTTTTAAGTGTCAATTCAGACAACTTACAATTTTGATGAGATCTACTAAAAACAGAGGCAGTAGACTAAAAATTGTCAATGTAGCTTCACAAAACCTGGTGTTGCTCTGTTTTGTTTTGTTTTTCTGTTTTGTTTTTTAACATCAAAGTTATTTAATGTCTGTTTTCTTATTAGGTCACTTAAGGTTCAGAACAACAGCAAGATGAGTTAGTGCTAGAGCAGAAGGGAGTTCCGATGCTTCAGAGAGTAAGATGAGTGATCTCGCAGCAGCTCAGTGATAAAGGCACACTTCTCAGACACCCCAGGCTAAGCAGAGGCAGGGTGCAGCAGAGCTGGGCTGGCGCTGTGAGGCGGGGAGATGAGAAAATACGCCAGGCAGCAGTGCAGGTGCAGGATAGTTGCTGTTCAGGAGAGAAGAATTGCGGTAGGGATTGTTCTAAAGGTAGGAACCAGCTATTCCTTTTCAAAAGGTCATGTTTTATGAGCGTGGAGTTTCCCTGTTACTATAGTACTTACTACTTTTTGCTTTGTTCTCTTCATTTGAGTTTCGTAGAAAATAGATGCACAACAAATGACAATAGAGATGTGATTTGGAAAAAAATCAAAGACTTCAAAGCAAAAATAATGTAAATCATTGAAGAAATTTTATCTTAACATATCTTCAGGACAGATCAAAAACTTTTTGTTCAAATTTTAACATCTCTGAATCAAAAGAATCTATAGAAAGTTACAGTTCTAAAAGTAAAAAAGTTATAGGCTATTCTGGCATCCTATATTTTCTCATGAATTTAATTTCCTTTAATCACGAATTTTTCTGGTGTAGTTTTTCGAAACAAGGTTTTACTATGTAGTCCTTCTGGGCTGGCCTTAAACTTGAGACCCTCCTGCCCTGGTCTCCCAGCTGCTGGGCTTACAGTCATGTGCCAGCACAGTGAGCTTCTATAAATTTCTTAGAAAAATCTTTTAGTTATATAGAACCTATTTTGTGAAAAAATTACTTAGCAGGATGAAAGTTTTATTTTCATTATAAAGCATTTTATAGCTAATTTTTACAAGCTATACATTTTATATTAATTGTTTTTGTTTACATATAAGTATGTGGAAGAAATTAGAGGAGACTACATTTTAAGTAGTTCTTAATGAAAAGCTTGAAAAATATCAAAATCCTGTAAATTAAACATTTTTGCCTTTTGAAATTTTCTCATGTTCATTGAAGTGTTACTGTTGAGTTAAAAAAATGCAAAAATATTTTGAATAGCCCATGCTTCCACATACTTATCTTCTCAAGAAATATTAAAAAAAAGTTTAAGGTATTTCTTATTTGTGAGGCTTTTGAATCATAGAAAAGAAATATGTATGAAAATTTTTAGATTAGCCTATGTTAAGGAGGCATAGCTCAGTGATAGCAGGATCCTGGGTTTGATTTCTAGACTGAAAACAAAACAAAGGAATTCATGGTAAGGGACAAAACAAAATGGAAAAGAAAAATCCAAAGAAACTAAATGGCCCTTGTTTAATGTATTACTTGTGTTGATATATTAGTAGTGATATTTTGAAACTTTAATTGATTATGTGGTACTAGTTTGTAGTTTTCTTTTCATTCTTTCTTTTTTTCCCTGTGAGTCTAGTCTAGGGCCTTGCTCCTATTAGAGCTCTACCCTGGACTATGCTCCACCCAACCAGGGGAGAAGTTTCCTAATGAAACATTGCAAGACAAAGTGTAGATGCATTCATCTAGTGGTGTTGCAGTAGTGTTTCTTTTAATCCCTGCATCCTTTGCAAATTACTGTAAGAATTCAATTGTTTTCCTACTTTTTTCCTCTCACATCCCACCACTTCTCAACTTTGAAAGTGAAATTAAGAGCAAAAAAAGTAAACTCTTAAAACATTTTCATTATAATTTTAGGAATGTAATTGAAATTAATGCAAAGGATAGATATTTTACATGCTTACATTTTTATCATTTTAATTGTTCAAAAAAATAAACAAATAGCCTTCTGATTTATACCAGTAATGCTAATGTAATGAAACACATCATATTAGTGTTGTAAGGAAGATATTTCTAGTAATGCAATTATGGAATTTCTTTGGACTTCATTAATAAGTCCTGAAAAAATTTTAAAAAATGAGTAGAAGATCTGGCATAACAAAACATAGAACCCTGTTACATAAAATATGTCATTAAAGAAGTTGCACGAAGCTGGGTATAGTTCTGCACTCCTGCAGTCCCAGCTATTGGGGACACCGAGGCAGGAGGGTCACTAGCTCAGAAGTTTGGAGACAGCCTGGGCAGCTAGGTGAGACTGTCTTTACGAAACAAAAAAATTGTCAACAAATGACCCTATTACACATTTACCAATTACATATTACTATGATCATAGTTATCCAAAAGAGAATCAGCAGTAAAATTTTTTAAACTTCTAAAAGGATGAGCGTACATGTAATGATATTATGATTGGTATCTACTTTTTAATACATTTTTAGTATTTTACATGTGTCTAGGCATTAAGAGTTTTTTTTTTTAATTAAACTAATTCAGAATTTTTTTCTGATAATATTTTGATTGGTTTGTTGTTGGGATCAAACCCGGGACCTTGCACTTAAGAGGCAGGCAGCAAAACCACTGAGCTAAATCCCCGGCCTTTTTTTTTGTTTTTTTATATTTGAGACCTTTCTATGTAGTTTAGGTTGGACTTGATCCCACTGTGTAGCCTAGGCTGGCCTAGAACTCAAGTTGATCCTCCTGCCCCAGCCTTCCAGGTGCTGGAATTATAGACTTGTGAACCACAGCCTTCTAGTTAGCAGAATATTTTTGCCTACATTTCTCTTAGAGGACTTTTTACTTGCATGTGAAAGATTGGGCAAATTTTTAATGATAATTTTTGTTTCTTAAAAACTTTTGGCAGAATGTTGCTTAAATATAATAGTCCAACATTTCGCTTTTCCATGTTATTTTTACTGATACCCTGATAAAGTTCATTGATTATCACCTTGAACCTTAAGAGGAAGTCTAGTGTTGCTACGTAAATTTATATAGAGAGAATAAATTATTAGAATTCAAAAAGCTCTTGTAAAAGGCAGGAAAGTGTCTGTTTTGTTTGTTGCCTGTATATCCCCAGTGCAAGAATCATTCCTACAGGTAGGCACACATCTGTTCCGTGAATAGCAAGTTGGAGCCAAGTGTCGTAAATAACCTGGACAGAAGTTAGTGCCTTAAGAATACTTAATAACGCAACAAGTATATTGATTAGAGTATGAAACGTCAAATGAGAATACTAAGGCCTTCTAAAGATGGCCAACATATTTGATGAAATCAGGATTTTTTTTTTTCATTCCCAGGCTTTAGTAATTATAGCTTTCCATGTTTAACAGAATTTTGCTAATTGCATACATAGTTAAATATAAAGAATTTCATGAGTTGTTACATTTGTGTTAAAAATGTATGTCATTCTTCACTTTGGAACTCAGACCTTTGACTAAATTAAGTAAGGTTAATTGAAATGTTTCATGGAAAAACCCCTGACTTAATAATTGTTTCTGCAGTTTATATAAAGTCAGTTGGCCAGAGTAATCAACACCTTTCTTTTTAAATGAACCAAACTTGAGATCATTTTGTCAACTGTTGTCTTACTTCAGCCACAGTATCTTAATTTTTCTGGTTTCATTGTTGTTTGAATAGTATTAAGAAATGGTTTTTACATACCGTTTTTTCTGTCAGGCTCAATAGTAGGACAGCTTAGGATTTAATTGTGCAAATGCTGTCACTGTGTATAGGTCTATCTCATTTCTAAAATGGCAGCATTCCTTGTGTGTAAATATGCATATCTTAGCACGTCTGTCTTTCAATATGTGTAAGATCTAGAAATAGATTTTTAGGATAAAATTCATGAATTCTTAAAATCTTTAAGAAATCATTTTCAGTAAATGATGTGCGAAGTCACATCCCTACAGAATATGAAGTCCTTTCTTCATACCCTGTTGTACTTAAACTTCTTAATTTTTGCTAAACATACAGGGAAAAAATGTAATCATTATGTGTTTTTGTTCCATTAACTTACTATGAATTGCCTGGCCACATTCTATATTCTGTGGTTTATCTTATTATTATTATTATACTATTATTATTTATCTTTTTATTAGTTGGAGTTCTTTATATGTTTTTTCAGTGTTAGGTG